TAGACATCATCTCCAGACCCTTACTAGCCATGTGAGCAAGCCTCTTCATCACTCTGTGCCTCAGTTTCCTCACATGGAAAATGAGCGGGTTGGGCCAATGGCCTCTGAGGTCCCTTTCAGCTCATAAGGATCTTTTTTTTTTCTTTTTGGCTAGGCAATGGGGTTAAGTGACTTGCCCAGGGTCACACAGCTAGTAAGTGTTATGTGTGTGAAGCTGGATTTGAACTCAGGTCCTTCTGAATTCAGGGCCAGTGCTCTATCCACTGCGCCACCTAGCTGCCCCTTCATAATGATCATTTGAACCTGAAGCCCATAGAAGTTACTTGACCAAGGTCACACAGGTAGGATTTGAACCCATAGATGCACAGCTGGGATCAACCATAGAGTTCACCTAGACCAATTCACCTACACCTAGACTTCATTTTACAGAAAAAAGGAAACTGAGGCCTGGCGAGTGAAATGACTCACCCAGAATCTCACAGGTCACAAGCCTCAGAAGTGGGATTTGGCTCCAGAAACTCGGGTACTCCAGATAAGGAAGCTGAGGTTCCCCCAAAGGGCACGCCTTGAGTTAACAAGAAGAGACAGAAATTCCTGCCGCCTACTCTGGGAACCTCTTCGGGCCCCACTGCAGGAATCTTTCTGTTCTTCCCTCCCCAACATGGGAAGGGAAGCAGACAAATCCCAAATCCTGAGATCCGGAAAATACAAGGCTTTCCACAGAACATGCTTCTGGATGTGGGCGGAGGGAATCCGGGGGAAGGTTGGGGAGCTGCAAGCCCGGCAGAGGGACCCCGGCAGAGCTGAGCTGAGGGTGGCTGTTTTTCCTCCCTCCACACAGCTCCCTCCCCCCCACCCCCCACCCCCCACCCCCAGCTCCATTCAGACTCCTTCCTATCTGTAGAGGCAGATTTCAATGTATTATAAAGGAAAAACTCCCTCACATTTACAGCCCTTCCATAGAGGATTGGGCTGCCTGAAAGAGGGAAGGATCTCCCCATCCCTGGAGGGATGCAAGAAGATTCTACATCTCAAGATGGGCAGACTAGGACAGTGGGGTCATAAGATCATAGATCTAAGGCTGAAAGATGCAGCTGTCTTTCTTCCTTACCCACTCCGTTCATTTTGGCTGAGTGAAACTGAGAACGAGACTCCATTCTCCGAGGTCCCTACCAGTCTTAAGGGTCCCAAATTCCTCACCCCAGCTGGGAGCAGCCTCTTCCCTACCTCTGTCCCCCATCCCCTCCACTCTCCAGGTCTCTCAGGCCCTCTAAGCCTGGACTAAAAGAATGCATCTCCCCCAGGACGCCCTCCTTGAATCAGCAGGAACTGTGGATCACCCCCTGCCATCTAATCTCACCTCCCATCTGGGTCCCTATATTAGTGTGGGCCTTAATGAGATTTCTCAAGCTCTCTGGAGACTCACATCCTCTCCGGGCTGGGCCATTTGTCTCCCTCCTAGAGGAGGGGACATCAGGGGGTACAAAGGGCTGTCAGGAAACCAAGGGACTGCTACTGACCTGGCTGAGCTACCTTGAGTCAACTGGGGTCCCACTACTCTGGGCTCAATCTTATCTGGAGAGTACAGAGGTCGAACCAGATGACCTCCGGCTTAGACATTCCATGTTCTAGGAATCCTGCAGCTTTAGTAGCACCAGCTAGCCCCTTTGAGTTCTGATATTCTAGGTTCTATGGTTCCCTCCCAATCCTGACATTCCATGTTCTAATTTTCCTTCCAGCACTTATATTCCCTGTTCTAAAGACCCTCTCAGCTCTGACATTCCCTGTTCTAAGATACTTTCTAGTTCTAACATTCTGGGTTCTAAGGACCCTCCCAGCTCTGACATTCTGGATTCTAAGTGCTCTTCCAACACTGACATTCTATATTCTATGGTCCCTCCCAGCTCTAAAATTCCCTGTTCTAAGGGCCCTCCCGGCTGTGAAATTCTCTGTTCCAAGGGCCCTCTCACCTCTGATATTCCTTATTCTAAGGTCCCTTCTAGTTCTAACATTCTGGATTCTAAGTACCCTCCCAGCTCTGCCATTCCCTGTTCTAAGGCCACAGCATACTCTGTCAGTCTAGGCTCTAAACCAGAACATTCTTTGAGAACTCAGCTCAACCTCACCCTTATACCCCCTGCCCCCAGTTCTCAGGGCTATTCCTGGCATCTCAATGTCATTCTCAATGGATGAGAAACTGTGAGGGATGAGTGTAAAGATGGATGAGGAGGAGGAATACAGCTGCAGGCTCTAAGGGGAGTTTGCTTGCCAGCACCTTGGTGCATAGGGGTGATGGACACAAGACAGATCTCAGTGGGCACGGGGCCGGGCTCTGAGGTGGCAGCTTATGTCTCCTGCCCTCCTTTCGTTGAGAGTCTCCCCTCCCCCTTCCAGGGTTCTTTCCCAGCAAAGGAACCTTGGCAGACCTGAGCTACCACGCGCTCCTTCTGCCCTCCCCGCGCCACCCCCCACAGCATGGCGGACCTGCTTCCCCACACACCTGGGTTTTCCTTGTGTCTCAAGTCCCCCGGGGGGCCAGCACTGATCAGAAAGCACTGAGCAGCTTCACCAGCTGCCTCCTCCTGGCCCAGTCCAGACAGCCTGGCTCTGGGCTCATTCTTCTTCGTGGCTGATCTGCCTTCTCCTGGCACCGGGTCCCTGCCCACCTGAACTGCTCCTCCTTCCTGACCCTCCACCTACTTCTGGCACTGCCTGTTGCACTACCCTGCCCTGCCTCTTCCTCTCCGTGGATGCTGTCCAGGGCTCTAGCCCCAGCCCCCTCCTTCTCTGCTCCTTTTATAGGCTTCCCGGGAATGATCTCACTGTTTCTCCTTTCCTGATCATTCCCCGTGGTGGCTCCTGCGTGCTCTCAGTCCTGGCGGCTGTTTTCCTCCGCTCCGTATGCCCTCAGAAACTTCTCCCACGTGGCCCCGGCCGGCCAGCTGGCTGGCTCTCAGCCCCTTCGGCCCCTACCAGCTCCACGTGGCCCAGACGATTCCTGATCCCCGTCCAAGAGGTCACCCTCTTGGTCCTCAGAGGGCCAACACCCTCTCCCCGCCTCTCAGGCTCGGTCTTAGCCTCAAAATTATATATACCACTGGTCTTTCAGCAGAGTCAGCTCCCGAGAGAGCCGGAATCGACCTTTTCTGTACACGGTGAATGCTAATAAAAGCCAAGAAATAAACAACATTCCAAATACAGCACACTTTCTAGAGAGGTAATGAGCAGACCATCACTGGAGGTATTTAAGCAGAAGCTGAAAGACCATTTGTCAGAGATGCTGTAAAAGAGAGTTCTGTTTGGCTCTGAGATCCCAGGGTTCTAAGTCTCCTCCTCCTATTCTGTTGGCCCCCAGTCTCTCCAAGCCCGATTTCTGGCATCATCCACCCCCCCAGGCCCTGCTTAGCCTGTAAACCTCCTCCATTCCCCTCTGCCCAGTTCTTCATCTATCTAGCCTTCACATAGTTATTCTTCAGCTCAAAACCCTTCCCCGGCTCCCCATCACCTACTAGCTAAAGTACAAAAGGTTCGACCTGCTGTGGAGGGCCAATCACAACCCGGCTTCAATCCAGCTCATTTCCCATCATTCCCAGACAATGCTTTGTTCCATCCAAAGTGGAGTAGTAAAGATTTCCTTAATCAGGGCTGCCGGTACCCCTCCTTCCCTGGAGCATTCACAAGCCATCCCCTGCACTGGGGGTGGGAGGTGTAGTGAGGTGGTGGGAAATCCCCCTCCTTACCTCACCTTCCAGATTCCTTCTTTCCCCTTAATGCTCTGCTCCAATGCCTCCTTCTGCACGACATTCACCTTCCCTGGTTCTCCAGGTAAGCCTGCTCTCCCATCCTCCCAATATTCCCGGACCACTCTGCCTAATCTCTTTTTTGACCCACTACAGGGCACCTGTATTTATATCTGCATCTATGCCTACATTTATATATAAATATATACTATATAAATATATACTATATAAATATAATTATATCACATACAAATAGAAAATATTTTTATATATTAAATTTTATTCTATGTAAATTATATATATTTTCTATATTCTCCACATATTTATTTATATATACACATTATATTTACATGTAAATACAATTTATTTTATATAAATAATATTTATATAATATATTTGTATATAATATAAATATTATTATAACATTATTGGTATGATATATGAATTATTAATGTGTTGTATAAATTATAAATATAATATGTCATTTAAATATAATTATAATACATATATGAGAGAGAGTGTGTAAAGGGCAGTTAGATGGCTCAGTGGATAGAGTGCCAGGGCCTGGAGTCAGAAAGACTCATCTTCATGAACTCAAATCTGGCCTCAGACACTTCCTAGCTGTGTGACCCTGGGCAAATCACTTAACCCTGTTTGCCTCAGTTTCCTCATCTCTAAAATGAGCTGGAGAAGGAAATAGCAAACTACTGCGGTATCTGTGCCAAGAAAACCCCAAATGGGGTCACAAAGAGTCAGACATGACTGAAGAACAACTGAACAACAAAATATAGTCAGTAAACAGATTAGAAGCTCCTTCCTCCCTCCCCAAGGTAAACACCGTGAATGCAGGCAGTGGGTCCCTTTTCATCTCTGAATCTCCAGCTTCTGGATCAAGGTCTTACACCAGTAGATGCTTAAAAACTTATTGACTTGAATTTCAAGTGTTATGCCGACTGGACACAGCCCTCAGTCCTGAGGCCATATCTTCTTGGACCTAAGGTTCTGCCCTAAGGGGAGTGACCCTCTCAGATCTGGGACTTAGGCCCTGGGGGTCAGCCTTCCCCCAGTGCACTAGACCTCACTGGCCCCAGCTGGAATTCACATTCTCCCTCCCAGCCTCTGGCTCTAGCCCCAAGATATCTTTGGTAGAGGACACTCCCAGGTCGGGAAACTCCCTCTACTGATATAGGCTGGTTCCTCCTCTGCAATCTCGAGAGCCTTAGAGTTTCCAGGGGCCTTGAGAGGTTATGTGCGTCAGAGGAAGGATTTGAGCCCAGGTCTCCCTAGCCTCCAGGCCAGCTCTCTACCCATGGACTCTAGCTCAGAAAACCAGAACTGAGTCGATCCTGAGAGTGTCTGGCAACCATCCGACAGCCCTACTCGGCATCCCTCCTGGGACCTGCAGAATCCCAACTTCCTTTCCCAGCTACAGCAGTGCCCTAATTGGAATGCAAGCCCCCTAAGGTCAGGTCAGTCGATAAGCCAGTCAATAAGCATTTACTAAGCTCTTACCAAGTGGCTGAGCTCTGAGCTTACTTAAGAAAGACGAAAAAGAGTCCCTGCCCTTAGGGAGCTTATAATCAATGGGGGAGCAAACATGCAAACTCCTACGTACAAACAAGCTATGGAAAGGATCCATTGGAGAAAGGCAACAAAGGCACAAAGAGTTGGGGGATGAGAAAGGCTTTCTGTAGAAGGTGGGGTTTTAGTTGGGACTTGAAGAAAGCCAAGGAAGCCATGAGGCAGAGATGAGGAGAGAGAGTATTTCAGGCATGGGGGACAGCCAGGGAAGATGCCCAGAGCTGGGAAATGGAGCGTCTTGTTCGAGGAACAGCAAAGTTGTTGAGCTGTTTTTCAGTCATATTCGACTCTCTGTGACTCAATTTGGAGTTTTCTTGGCACAGATGCCATTTCCTTCTGCAGCTCATTTTACAGATGAGGAAACTGAGGCAAACAGGGTGAAGTGATCTGCCCAGGGTCACACAGCTAGTAAGTGTCTAAGGCTGGATTACTAACAGCAAAGAGGCAGTGTTAATCTTCCCAGAGAACGTTAGGGGGTGGAAGGATGTAACGAGGAAGAGAAGACTGGAAAGGTAGGAAGGACCTGGGGATTCTGGAAGAAAAAGAGAGTCACTGAAGATGATTGTGATGATCGGACCGTACTTTAGGAAGATCGCTTTGACAGCTAAGTAGAGGATGAGCTGGAGGGGGCAGAGACTGGAGACAGGAGGACCCATCAGCAGTTAATGCAACATCCTGGTGTAGGGTCAGAGTAGAGGAGGGGGCAGAGACTGGAGGCAGGGTCAGAGGAGAGGAGAGGGCAGATTCGACTGACCTTACAAGCCTTGAATGGGGCAGTGGGGTGTGGTAAGCTGGGATGACAGAAGGGCGATGGTTATAGAGAGGACACAGACCGTCTTGCTTTTCCATCTATCTGCAGTGATTGGCACAGAGCTTTGCACGAGACACTTAATACATACTTTTTCTTTCTTTCATTCATTCATTCTGGCTGTCAGTTTTTCCCAAAGTACTTTGCTCCTAATTACATGTCACCTTCTATCCTGCCCATGTTACATTCCCTCCCCATCCCCAACCCCACGCATTCTTTAAGCAAAGAACAAGGACTGTGCCACTTTCCATCTTTACATGCCCATTTCCTAGAATGGGTCCTCGGACATGCTAGGTGTTTAATCACCTGAGAGCTGGCTTCAGAATCAGGAACCCCCACCTCTGACACATACCGGCTGTGTGGCCCTGGACAAGTCACATAACCTCTCTCAGGTCTGGGCAACTCACCAATATTACAAGTCAGAAAAGATATTGACCTGCATTGGGAGAAGGAGTTTACTGACTGGGAGTTCCCAAATCAATGACATCTTAGGTCCAGTCCTGCATTATATATACACATATAAATGGATATACCTACCTACTACCTATCTATAGCATATACTCATCTGTGTGCAGACAGTCCTCACCAATAGAGGAAACTCCTTAAGGGCAAGGCAGGGAGTGTTTTTTCTTTTTTAATTAATTTGTTTTAAATTATCAACAATCACTTCCATAAGCTTTTGAGTTTTAAATTTTTCCACCCCTCCCTTCCCACCTCCCTCCCCAACACAGCAAACAATCTGATATAGGCTCTACATATACATTCCTATTAAACATATTTTCAAATTAGTGATGTAAGGAAGAATTAGAACCAATAGGAGGAACCACCAGAAAGAGGAAACAAAACACAACAGAAGAAAAAAAAAGAGCAAATAGCATGCTTCAATCTGCATTCAAACTCCATAGTTCTTTCTTTGGATGTGGATAACATTTTCCATCATGAGGCCTTTGGAGATGTCTTAGATCCTTGTATTGCTGAGAATGGCTAAGTCTATCAATATTAGAGTGTTTCTTTTTTTTTTTACTTTGTGCCTTTAGCACCTAGCACACACTTGGCACACACTTGGTGCTTAATACACCTTATTCGTTGATGGATGGATTACCTGACTTCTGAAATCCCCCCTCCCCCAACCTGCGTTTGCTCTGTCTCACTATCCCAGCAGCCCCCACCACCATCATCGCTCTCCTTTGTAAACTCCTCAGAGCCTACTCCTTCCATCCCGAGAGAGTTCTCAGGGAAGTCCCAGCATTCCCAACCTGTCATTACTTTGCCATCTCATTGTGATCATTGCTCTGGATAATAATACTGCATCCGATGCCTTTGTGCCTTTCAGCATGACCAGCGAGCCAAAGCCTCCCAGCCGTGCAGGACGGAGACCAGGAAGCACAAGATTGAGTAGGACCCAGCCTGAGCCAGAGACTTTGGGAACTCTAGCCAGGGAAGGGACCTCGAAGGATGCCCAGAGCAGCCCTCTCCTGCTAGAAGTGATTGAAACAGAGGTGACTTCCTCAAGATCACCCAGCAAGTGTCAGAGACAGGATGAAGGAGAACTTCGTGGCTCCGGGTCAAATCCTCTGTCCTAGTACATGTCTGAGGCTGGATTACTTACAGTAAAGAGGCCAGGGTTAACCTTCCCAGAGAACTTGTTAGGGGGTGGAAGGATGTAACAAGGAAGAGAAGACTGGAAAGGTGGGAAGGACCTAGGTGCTTGGGCCGGCCACAC